GGTGTCACAAAAGATTGTTTCCATCTATTAGGTACCTTACTAAAACATAATGACTGATTGAATATATAGGCTAGCGGTTCCGCTACTATATGTGCAATCCTCTTCATGAACGCTGCCGGGATGAAATCGGGGGTCAAAGAAAAAGAGTCAGGCAATTCTTTTAAGAGCCGATAAAGTTCCAGACCATCAAACCAAGGGAAATCAGCCATAGGTGTATCAACAACAGGATCGAAAATTGGCAATAAATCATCATTATCAAGAAAACACCTGACAAAATTTATCGGCTAAACAAATTGGCCTTGTCTTCATCAATGACTGCCACATACCCATCATTTTTCAAACAAGGGATTTTGTGGATCGAACCTAGTTTCCTGTTCAATAATTTGTAAAATCCCTTTTTACTCTTACTATTAAGGATTTTCTTCTCAACATGTATGTTGTATTTCCTGAGGAGGTTATCGAACTTTCGTGAAAATGGCGGAATTCTGTTTCTTTTTTTCTGTTATATTCTTAATTCATTGTTATTAAAAATTCTGAGAACTGTTATAGGTTACCTGAGCCACTTGAAGAGGAGCTTAAGGGCGAATCAAAAAATGTACAAAAAATAAACAAACAAAACTTCCACGAAAAAGGTTGGTTTCCTCCCTGACATTTTTGACCCCTACTCTGCCCTTAGGCGAAAAAAAAGCAATGGTAGGCCCGGTTACTGTGCAAACTGGGCGCTGGGAAGAGCAAGGAGGGTAGCCCATGGCTTATTGTATCCATGAAGCTCAGCCACCGTAGCTGCCCATCCCCTCCAGTGTCCCTCAAAGTGCGCGTACTAGTAGATTACAAGAACTTACTGGATTAATAAGATGAATGTAAGCAGATAGGCCATGGCGGTCTGCATCGTTCCGACAGGCGCTGGGTTCGGTGGTGGTTATGAAATGTGAAATGGCATCAGGCGACCTTAAATACGCATTCTCTCGGGTGGGCGTGGCCACAGCCATACCCTACGACGGCCGGCCTTCTGGCGGAAAATTATCCTGCTCACACGATGGTGACCAGCGGCAGCTTTGGACTTTGTCACGGCATTTCTTGGAACTCATGGGTTATGCGAGCCCTTACAGGAATCCCTTTCATAGTGCAATAGATGCATTGAGTACACCTTTTTCAGGAGAATTTCTAGAAAATCGGCAGCAATTGTGCATTTTTCCCCGAGGTAGCAATCTCTGTGATCGTTGAGGGAAACCCACGGGGGCGGCATTTATCCTGCAGTACCCAGACGAGTCCTAGAAGGAAACCCCTCTGGCAGCTACATGTATACTACTTCCGTTCGCATAAAAAAGGAAAGCAAAGCACGGTGTTGATCGGCCCTCACACATAATGAACACTGGATTATTTGCGCTGAACTAAAACCGCGCCTCAGTTTTCACCGTCCGTTCTAGGCGTGAGACGATCAACAAGGGATTTAGTTCGAGATGCTTCCTTGTAGTGGCTAGCTATGGGGTGTGAATCGTGAGATTTCTCCCAATTTCATTGAGAGGTATCAAAAGACCACAAACCGCAGTTTCAATCAGAGTCACCACAAAGCGCAGTTTCAACCAGGGTCACACAAACCGCAGTTTCAACCAGGGTCACCACACAGCCGCAGTTTCAACCAGGGTCAGCCGTTCTTTCGCACTATTCGGACGAGGCGGTGCGTTTGCGATTTTGAGAAGGGGGTTGCATTTTGGGGTTGGGTTCGGTAAACTACCTTGGAAAAAGTGTGAACGGATGTCGCAAAAATGGGGTAGTATTTAAAGTTAGTGGTGGATTTGTCGCTTTATGATACCAATTTGCCCCCCCCCCCCTTCCCTGCTCCGCTCGGCTGCCATTTTGAGGAAAAGGTGTTCGGAGTTCGGTGCGCTGACTAGCCCCAGAATCAAGCACTGTGGAGACGTCAATGATGGTCGAGGTGGTGAGTGGGCTAGAGGAGAAGGATGCCAATTGAGGAGCCTGGGTGGAAAGCAGCCCGTTCTACCGATTGCGGACTTTCGAAATTTTGCGATCCCCCCCCCCACCCTTCGCAACCAAATTTCACCACCCCACTTCACACGCTCGCCATCGTGTTTTCCATGGCATTTCATTCTGCGGAACTAGTCGACACTCCTTAATCCCACCGACTTTCCCCCCTCCCCCCAACAAAAACAGCGTCTAGCGGAGGGAATATACGTACAATGAGACGGCACCGCCCCTTCAACTACGCGTCCTAAACTCACCCATGAATTCCACGATTACATCAAATAGGACCCCCTCCAATCTCATCAAAATACGACCCCCCCCCCGTTGGTACTTGTCGCAACTTAGGATTAATCCTGGGTGGAGAGGTCTTTGAAAAAATGCGAGCCCACCCCGGCTTAGAACCATACATTGACTTCCTACGCAAAAGGCTAACTAATCGTAAGAAGGGTGACTGTAAGCGCTCGCCACCCCACGGTCAGGAGATCATTCCGTGCCGTCATCAAACACGGCTTGTATTCATTTGCAATTCGCTAGCTTATAAATAAGGTGGATAAACAAAGTTATCCGGGTAACGAGAGGCCCCTGAAATTGCTGCTATGTCTACACAATGTCTAATGAGAGCCAGAAGGTGTTCTTTGTTGCTGGAAGTAAGTTTGGTATCAAATATCCGACCACAAAGGGTCTATTTTTTTACCTGTCTAGCTGAACTCCAATTTGATTCTTGGAGCTACATACGAAGCAGCGCCATTTGTCTGACACCGTGTTTTCAAACGGAACCCGGCATGCAAAATAAATACCCCGAAAAGGCGAGAACAGCGCGAAGCCTTCGTCACTGAATGACTTCCGACCGGTAATAATCGTGAAATTAAAGGCACAACCCAGGCAGAGGTCGTGTGAACGCTTCCCTTCGGTCTGTAGTATAGACCCTAGAGGACAATCACAAATGTGGCGTTCCCGTGCACGGAAACCAACCGACAAGAGCGCTTGGGCCTTGCAAAGTAAGCTGCTGAAGCTGCAGATTTTTTTTCTTATCAGGCTGTTGTCTGGCGCTCTCTCATCTGTAGCGCTCTCTCGCCTCATACTCTCCTCTCCGCGCTTAGTCTCTCATTCCCTTAGCACAGCCGATTAGGAAGGTGAGTGAGCCCTTAACCTGAGCGTTTTCGACGGATTCTTTTCCTTTTTTCTTTACTGCCGGCCCATTTCGCACCAATACATTCGCATTCGTGTGCAAGAGCCACACCAGTGTGATCCTGGGGCATGGCTTTGAACTAAAGGAAGTGAGCGAACGAGTGTATTGTTTTATCAGAATTTCTTAGGACTAGTGAGCCCACTTACATCCTAGCTGGCTCCCATAGCGGTTAGCTTGACAGTTATCGGCATTTTCACAATGTTCCATGACTCGAGTTCTGTTCACTATTAAACAGCAGCTAAAATAGGCTAACAAAGCCACTTTTGCAGTCATATGCCAAAACCGCTCAATAGGTAGTACACTCAATGGTATAGCGTTAGAGGTGAATGTGAGTGTAGTGGCCACGCCTAGGCTAGTACTTACCACCACCACGGTCCTGAAGTTACTATCCCAGCTTAAGTCTCGGCCAAGGCTAACAGCCTTCTTCTCTTTGCTTGTGAACTTATTACCAGACCGGTTGTTGATCTCGTAAACAACAACTTGTACTTCGGCTGGCTCCGCATGCCCACCCATTTATGGTGTATGCACCAACCTGCGTTCAAATTAGGGCTCTATTACATGTCAGGGGAGAGGTGTGGTGCATGACGCATGCCGGATAAGTGTATATCAACCTGTGTGCATTATTGTTTATTCGTTTACATGATTGACAAAGACATTGACATGACATCAAGTGATGGAGCGTGATTGCAGGAGAATTCTACAGTTAGGTTCGGTCGAAGAAGGGGAAGCATTCCTCATACAAAGGCAAGGCTACCAGGGGTGAGGCTGCGATTGCGCAGTGAAAATGATGATACTGATGTAATTGCGACGTCGCGGCCACGACCAGTAGCGCGGGGATTGGGACGATTCTGTTGACATACACCCACTTGTCACAAATTTCCAATCTTAAGGGGGGTGAAAGGTTGGTCGACCTGGGCGTGCCCGCTACTCCAATCCCGAACAATGGTTGCAAGTCACACATGGCAATATGTACGCCAACATGCACTTCAAAACCCTTAATCCTATGCCAATGGCGTTATGTTTCAATATTTCTGGTTCAGTGGGGATCACTTCAAGCGACTTTTTTCCTGCCACCCCATATCATGACTTCAAAAGAACATTCACATCGGCAACAATTGGACTTGGAATACTGCGCCCTCTTAAAGTAAAAGTAAAGGGACTAACGCCTGAGATGACCCCAAAAAAAATCCTGATTTCTGGAAAAAAGGGGCCCAAGAATCCTTGGGACAAGGCCGGCATCGGGATAGCTGATAAAAAGAATAAAAGATGAAGCGTTCCGTGCCGATGATTTCCTTTTAAGATTGCGCCATGGGCGCAATCGCAACATACGGGGGCATTTTGTCCAGAAGGGTGCATGGTCAAGTCGTTGGTACGTACTACTGGTGAGCTTAGAACAGGTTTCAGCGTTTTTATTACGACCGAGAGCGGTTTCATTCCTTTGCATTCCCTTGGTTTTTTTTGCCTGATTTTGTAACATTCAGTCATTTTAGCGCTAACGCAAGAAACGGGGGCATCCTTTAGGATTAGTCCCAGGAAGGAGCAGAAACGTTGGGGAAATAAAATTTGGCCACGCAATCTGAATCTCTTCCTCACCTAAAGCTTAGTCCCATTTCTGAAAAAAAAATGTTTTGCGCGGTTACGTCGTCACAATGCCCCGGACCTTGTGCGATAGCGCCGCCACGTCTTCGAATCTCGCACTCAGAATCGCTGAGTGCATTGACAGATGCGATCTGGTGTATAAAAGGACGTGCGGCGGATCAAAGCCGACATATGAAGTCCTTCTTCTTCTTCGCGGCCGAACTACACCAAAAGGGAGTAAAAAATCTTTCACCAATAAACTGAACACGGAGAAAGGAAGGGCTGGTTGCTCTGAACGACGATCGGCTAAGATCTTTGACCCCTTGACCGGTCACGCTGTGTATGGCGCCACTTTCCTCTATACCGCTTCACCACTTCCACCTGATATCGGACTATAAATGGCGAAGGCGAGGAATCCTATGTAGAGTGTGGAGAGTTGAGAAAATTGAGTTAGATAATCAAATAGGAGGAAGAAAAGGAAAAACCTCGATTAGGAGGCGTTTAGAGTTGGCGTACATACGACTGGCGATTAGGCGATTAGGCGATGATTTGAAAAGAAAGTGTATGTATGTATAGGCATGGCGTTCAGGCGAGTAAGCGATAAGTAAAAGATATGTTTCGGATCTGTTAGCTCACTTCTGGCGATTGCCTAAACTGCCTTTACATCCCCGCCTACTCGCTAAGCGATAAATATCACTTCCTCAGTGCACTAATCGCTTGATCGCGCCTCTGAACGCCAACTCTGAACGCTACCTTAGGGGAGTGGAACTGCATACATGTCGCTATGGTTCACTCTGCTCTTTGAGCGATCGCCTAATCGCCTAGTCGTCAACACTGACTAATACTTAGATAGCCATTCGCTAGCTGATACCTATCACATCCAGCCGATATCGATATTGTCTTCGGTGTTAGCACAATGTAAAGTCCCTTCCTGCTATTTCTACATCTAATCACCTTTAGGCCGATGTCAGACTTTGCGAATCGCGCGATTCGCTAGCGTCTGCGGTCGCGTCGCGGCCAGTGAATCACTCAATTGGCTGGTACCGCAACGCGACCGCGGACGCTAGCGAATCGCGCGAATCGCTAGTAGCGAATCGCGCGATTCGCAAAGTCTGACATCGGCCTTAACGTAGCAGCGT